GGACGAGGACCGAATTATAAGTCCCCGTTTTCGGACTTCGTCCGAACTGGGACTAATTACAGAGTGAGAGGTGAATACTACAGAGAGAGTGAGGCAAACACTACAGAGAGAAAGAGTGAGGTGAACACTACAGAGAGAGTGAGGTGAACACTACAGAGAGAGTGAGGTGAACACTACAGAGAGTGAGGTGAACACTACAGAGAGAGTGAGGTAAACACTAGAGAGAGAGAGTGAGGTGAACACTACAGAGAGTGAGGTAAACACTAGAGAGAGAGAGAGAGTGAGGTGAACACTAGAGAGAGAGATAGGTGAACACAACAGATAGAGTGAGGTGAACACTACAGAGAGTGAGGTGAACACTACAGAAAGAGTGAGGTGAACACTACAGAGAGTGAGGTGAACACTACAGAAAGTGAGGTGAGCCTCTCAGCGAGAGTGAGGTGAACACTACAGAGAGTGAGGTGAACACTACAGAGAGAGTGAGGTGAACACTACAGAGAGAGTGAGGTGAACACTACAGAGAGAGTGGGTAAACAACAGATAGAGTGTGGTGAACACAACAGAGAGTGAGGTGAACACAACAGAGAGAGTGGGGTAAACACTACAGAGAGAGTGAGGTGAAAACAACAGAGAGAGTGAGGTAAACACTACAGAGAGAGTGTGGTGAAAACAACAGAGAGAGTGAGGTAAACACTACAGAGAGAGTGTGGTGAACACTACAGAGAGAGTGAGGTGAACACTACAGAGAGTGTGAGGTAAATACTACAGAGAGTGAGGTGAACACTACAGAGAGAGTGAGGTGAACACTACAGAGAGAGAGTGAGGTGAACACTAGAGAGAGTGAGGTGAACACTACAGAGATAGAGTGAGGTGAACACTAGAGAGAGTGAGGTGAACACTACAGAGAGAGGAAGGTGAACACAACAGAGATAGTGAGGTGAACATGACAGGTACTGTACGTAGTTGAACACTACAGGGAGGCAAATGACCTGACAGTGAAGAAGGTGAATGTGAAAAGGAGGTGAGTCAACAATACATAGGTGACCATACACTGAGGTAAGTGAACACTACAGAGACATAGACAAACACAGTAACCTACTGTAATAACATTGTTTCCACTCACCTATGTCTTCTAACTGCCGAAATAAACTGAAAGAAACACAAAACCATCTCTAAAATCATAAATATCGGTAATGCCAAATTTTGAATAGATCTTAATTATATCTGGTTGTGAATACTTATAATGTATTTGAGCATGAACACATTCAAAAGAACATGTTAATTATGAAATATTCAAAAACTTCCTTTAAAAGAAACATACCATTGTAAAATAATAAAATAATAAAACTGCAATGCCATGAATCCCAAAATTTGGAATTAAGATTACGGTAACACTGTTACCTGTTAACTATTATTTTTTTTTTTTTAACTAAACAAGCAGATTTTGCAGGAGGCTATTTTGACTCAGGATCCTTACAAAACTTGTTCTGTTAAAGGTACACTGCTAAGCATGCTCAGTGGTATTCACTACGTTCAATTACCTACCATAGACTTAGTCAAAATGACTATTTTGAACTGTAGGCATTAATCAACGACTCTGCCGGTGACGGAGAGATAGAATCTAGGTCAGGGGAAGCCCCATAACCCCAAGATTCTCTTTCCCTTACGTCAGGAACCACGTGACCAAGGCCATATGACAGTGCCATAGACGGCTGTACAAATCACTCTTCTTTTTTCTCCGCATCTGCGGGGATGAAGTTTTAACGGTTCTGCTGGATCGCCTACCTTTTTTCCTGTCCGGGTTTCTAGCTTAGGTTGTTGCCGCTGCATGGCATCCGACATTGTACATGTAGCTGGTAGGATAAGTTTTCCTTGTCATTTTACCCTTGTGTCGTTTTCCTCCTTTGTGTGTAGTATTTTTCACAACAAAGAAATTAAAACCCGGTGCCACTACGTAACCACTTGTTGGTTTCGCGGCGGCACCTTTTACAACTGTATTTCGTTTTTTCCCTCATGCATGTCGTCTTTTATTTGCATTGTATTTAGCAATGTATGGATGTAATGACAGCACCAGGACTCGCTGCCGTTTTCCTTTTGGTCTCCTCGCGTTTCAAGTCGACTGTGCAGTGGTTATATTCAGAATTTACCAGCATAGAACCCGCATCCGAGATACTCTCTAGGTTGGGTCCCGTTGTAGCGGGTCAGTCTTGGTTTGCTGACCCAGCCCGAACGACTGCTTGGGTCCCTGCGCATTGGCAATAAGTCAGTCCGGCATTTTATGCGAACAGATTTCTCTACCATCAGCACTCCCCTGGAAGCTCCCAGGTCCCGCTTTGCTGCCTATGCCCTCATGCAGAACTGTTTCGGTCTTTACTTCGAATGCTTACTACCCCCAGAATTGGGTTGGGGTCTGGCTTTCTCGGGCACACCGAACCCTGTCACCGTAGCAGCATTTTGGCTTCTTGCTCCGGGGACAGCACAGGCAAGGTAAGACACCACCCTTTTTTGGGTCTTAACTAGGGTGTTGAGTGATTTTTGTAAAGTGTTTCATCCTGGACTGGGAAAAGACTTTTCATCGCCTACAGTTAAAAATAATCATTTTGACTGACTGGAGTTTATGGTGGGTAATTGAACGTAGTCAATTTAGGCAAGGGTTCTCCGAACCC